CTCGAACTTCTGAGAGCTTGTACTCACAAAGGTGGTCACAAGGTCTTCAAGTTTAGAGAACTTGTCGACTTGTTGTTGTTGAAACCCTTGACCGCCTTGTGCTTGGTATGGTTGTTGGAAGTTCGAGTTTTGGAATTGAGGCCTTTGTTGGATGAAATTTGGCCGAGGTTGATAGTTACCCATTGGACCTTGGAAACCAGGAAGTCTTGGATTGGAAGGGGAAGGCCAAGCGAAGTGTGGATGATTGCGCCACCCGGGGTTGTAGGTGTTGCTATAAGTGTTATTTCCTCTAGCATTGGCAATGAAACTCACTAGCTCTCTAGGGTACTAGTCTCCTTCATCTCTTGGCAATCCGCAATTTAATGATTAGTGCTCGAACACCAATCACAAGACATCACTGCTCTCTTCCCTTGCTTCTTGTCCTCAAGGATCACCTTGATCAACTTGTGAAGCTTCGCTTCAAGTGGAGCACTTGCTCCCATGCTTCGCACTCCTCTTTCGGTGCTTCTCTTCCTAATTCTTGTCAAGCCCCAGTCATATCCTTTAAGAGCCATATCTTCGAGCAAATCGGTCACTTGAGGAGGGGTCATGTTCATCAACTTCCCTTGGCAGAGAGAGTGGATGAGAATCTAGTCATCTTAAATGAGTCCTCCATAGAAAGTTTCTATCCGAAATTGCTCCTCAAATCCATGGTGAGGGCATTGGAGGAAGTAGTCGGAGAATCTTTCTTATGCATCCCTCAATGTCTCATCCTCCTCTTGCTCAAAGTGAGTGATCTTATTTCTCCACTCGGCCGTCTTGGAAGGAGGACAATATCGGGTCATGAACTTGTTGAGTAAATCGTTCCAAGAGATGATGGATAGAGTCGGACGGTTGTTGAGCCATCGGAGTGCCTTCCCCGCCAAAGAATAAGGGAAAATCCTCAATCGCAACGCCTCCTCAGGGATGCCATTTATCTTCAAGCTTCCCGCTAGCTTAAGAAACCTTTGGACATGCTCTCATGGTGATTCATGGGCAAGCTCGTGGAATAAGGCATTTTGTTGAATCATCATCACGAGAGAGGGCTTGATTTCAAAGTAGTTGGCGGCCACGGGTGGATGTAAGAAGGGAGATTGGATATGTGCCGCCCCTGGAGTCATGTAATAGCCCATAGTCCTTGGCTCTTCCTCGGCTCCCGCTTCAACATTTGGGTTTCGAAGCGGATTAGCCCCTCAGTGTTGATTCCCCGTCATCTCAACTTCAACTTCAACTTCAACATCAATTCTATCAAATCCGGGACCAACTTGATGTCCCCTTTCTTCCCTTCTCCTTCTTGCCTCCACTTGCTCCCTCTCTCGAGCAAAAATTCGGAGAGTCTGGTTGATGTCCTCGTCCAGTGGTGCTAAAGGCGTCAGATTGCTCCGGGTCATGCACCTCCCTACACACACTTAAAAACAGAACACGTCTACCACAAGCAACACTTCACACTTTAACAAAACTGAAAATAAAAGCTAGATTAACACGAAACAAACTTTTCACAATAACGGACCGAAGTTCCCCGGAAATGACACCAAAAACCTTACTCCCCCTCTTAGTCTCTAGGTCGAGTAATGGGATACGATCCAAGCCACTAATGTGACCCTCTCAACCTATTGACTAAGGAATGGTAAGACTTCACCCTCGAAATTGGGGTTCAGACGGCCTCCCACAACCAAACCCTAAGTGCTAATACGAAATAGGAAGTTTGCCCTGAATTAACCTAACAAGGAGGCAACGAATTACCCAAGAATATCCAGCATTCAAGCCTCTTTCAAAGAAAGGAGGGGGTTTCTCTCTACCTAGGTTATAATGGCAATTAGATTGATAGGCTTTCACACATTCATGACTAATGCCTCTACATTCACATTAAACACAACCACACACAAATCTTTAAATTCATACAAGCATTCACATAATTGTAGCTAGGTTTTATCTTAACCTAACAAAATATCTTAACCTAACAAAATAACTTGGGGAAAAATCAAAGGGCACAAAGTGGCGAATCTCAATGTCTATGGGAAATTAACACATGGACCGTTGCAAGCGATACCGACATCCACCACAAACGACATTCGAGACCACAAAAAAATGGGCAAACGAAAAGTTCTCACCTTGTTCATGAATCAATGCAAGTCTCAATAAGATCACTCATCACTCACAACTAACCATGCATAACATTCAAGTCCAAGGAATGAACGAATGGGCAACAAAGGTCCTCACCGGGGGTATGATATGACATCCCAAGAATGGATCACTCACTCTCTTGACTAGTGGGATCGAGACCATTTGGTGCCAAAAATGTGCACAGTCATCAACTCTCGGCCCTAACGTCTTTTCACCATGGCAGCAACCTCTAAATGCTAGAGTTCACGGGATGGTTGTCATCACTAGCTTGTCCGGAGGTCTTAGACACGGGTTCAAATGAATGGCAATTGTCTTGTACATGGGGAAAAGGCTTTTTGGGTGGTGGAAAACACAACACGAGGTCCTACATCTTCACCTTAAAACATAAGGTTCTATGGCTTCCACTAAGAACCTTCCCTACAAACAATGGCCACTAGCGTCGGCCAAAAACCTTACTTCTCCCTTCCAAACTTTCACCCATCACGAACCACATTCAAGCACACTTCCTCAGCCTACTCTTGCTATCACATTTCGAACATAGTAGTGAAGGAGTTCAACAACAATGTGGATGTTTCAATGGCTTGAGTGCCAAGAAACCCCTCCTAGAGCATACACTTTGATTTTTGCGGCACTCTCTACTTTATTTACCCCGCTATAGTACCTCTTTTTCGATTCTTTTTCTTTCTTTTTATCTTTTCTTTTGAGGGGGTACTAGAGAGAAACACTTGCCACATTGCATTTAACAAACAATGCTCTCTTTTAAGAACTTACTCCAACACTACTCTTTTCTCCTTCATTCCTAGCAAGAACCGCACCAAATCCTCCTATGTAGAACCTCAATGGAGCTCCTAAGCACGAGCTCCGGGACACAAGGATGACTCATGTATAGACATGAAGAAATGATGGGGTCTCGTTCTATCAAACACCAATAAGCTTACGAGCGAAAAGCTCCTACAAAGAGAACGACCCCCAAAGTCACAAGGCTCAAAGAGGTTGACTAGGGGATAAAATATTTTGGGACAATCAACATTTGGGCGTGGACTAATCCTATGCCTCCATCATACTCACTTGTGACAACTATGATGTTACTCATCATGGTAAGAGGGATCTAAGCACACACAAGAAGAAAACAATCGACTCAAAACTCACATGGGTACCTAGTCACCCAACCATCTATTCCAATTCACAAAACACAATGCATGGCAATTGTAATCAACAAGTAATTGAGTCCAGACATCCATTCATTTTTGCACACATGAGAACTAAACCTTTGCACTATCATAATGCACATCTCAGTCATCATCATAGGACACACTCGATCACATGCAACAATTCAAGGTTAATGCTAATAAAAACGAGAATCTCCCACAAACCGGCCACTTTGATCATGCAAACATTGCTTAGAGCCATCAAATTTTTCAAATTTGGGTATACATCAAGGATCCAAGCATTCAATCACACTCACACAATCATAATAATAAAATACCCCCCCCCCCTCTTCACACACACACTTAAGCTCGACATTGCCCTCAATGGCGTAAGATAGGGGTAGAACGATGTTATCGCATGGCTTGGTGAGTGAAAGTTGCAATTTTTTATCCGGGGTAGGAGATTGGAGCTTCAAGGAGAACACAAGAACAAACACAAACACATACTCGCTCGGGCGAGGTTATTACACATAACAATACGATAGTATTAGTAGTTGTTCACACACACACACAATAAAAGAAAGAAAAACAAAATAAAAGATAAAAGAGTTTAGAGTTCCAAGTGGAGAAGTGGGGTGAAAGCCGAAAGGAATCAGCTCTGCCACATGTCTCACTCGTCTTCTACCTCATCATGGGTCGAAGGTCCCGTCTCATCTGGAAGAAGGCCCTGACGACGAGCTATCTGCTCCAGCAGGTTGGTGTGTCAGTCGATCTGAGAACCACTAATCATTTGGTTAATCGATAACAAAACCGATAACCGCCTACTAGTATAATCATAGAGTTTTGGTGTTTGGCCAAGAGAAAAGGTTCATAGGTTCAAAACAAACCAAAGTGCAATTTCAGACATCCCAATTTACACTTATTGCAAACAACCCTCCACCCAAAGTCTTAATTGTGTTTAAGATTCAGAACCCAAAAGTCATCTCTCTGACACCCTTTTACAGTCGACACAGCGAACGTCGCACCCTAGTAGTCTTTGTCTTTTATATATTTGTAGATGATCATGATGATCTTGTGGTTCTTATATTTGATGTCTGGGTAGTTGGTATACACTAATTAGATGAAGATGTTTGATTATTATTATCACTTTATATGTTGGAATTTAAATTATAAATTCACGATGGATATGTATTGATGTTATTTCTTATCGTTAGTGTTTTGTGTTAGTAATGTAGAAGTATAGTTAAATTGTTTTAGAAGTGGTTAATATTAAATGGCACTTGTTAAATGACACATGTTAAAGTTAATTGGACGATGATTTATGTATTACAGGTAATTATTGCTTCACTTTATTATATTTTGTGAAAGAAAATATAAGTTATTGATTTTATATTTGGTTTGATTAGGTATATTTATATTTGTTGGAACGTATGTTATTCGTTATCGATTAACCGCTAACCGAACCGATAAGAGACGGTTAATTGATAAGCCTTATCGGTTCGATTATCGATGAGTATTTTGCAAATTGATTAACCGCTAACCACCGTATTGGTTAGTATTTAACCGACACGGGACCAATTAACACCCTTAGAAAATCCCCGAACAATATTCATTTAAACAAAATATGCAAACAAGGCTCACTCGTGTGTAGCACAACGACCCCCACAAAAGGCACAACGCAAGCAATGGCGGAAAAAACCAGAAGTTTTCTTCCGGCACGCGAACCCTGAAAGACACAAGGAAACAAAAATTCGGAGACGGGCAAGTGGTGCGTCTTCCATCAGAACGGGTTTAGTCATTAGTGGCTAAACAGGTCAAGCATATTACACATAGGGACTCGGATAAAAATCAGGTACCAAATTCGTGAGACCGTCACAGCAAAGGGGAAGGAACAACAGCTACACTGGAAACTTATTCCTTCTTACTTTCAATGAGGAACAGAGAACGGAAGAAAACCAGGTACCATACATTCCCCTTTTTAGTATCTAAAGAGGTGAAAACAGAAGACATCATAAAGACAACACATGAAAGAACAAACAAAAACTATGGCTGCATACGTCAAACTGACTTGATCTTCCACCATCAGATCTGAAGAGCAAGCATAGGTTTGATAGGAGAGCAGCATCTACAGAACAGTCAGACGAGCAAAGATACATTGAAATGGAACTTATAGCAGATTAAGAGGGAAAAGGGAAGAAACTTGAGAGGAAAAGGAAACAAAAACAGGTAAGGCATTAAAGCTGGATCATTTCTTCTTTCCTATCAAACGACTGCAGCAGTACTAGGCATCCATCACCTGGCGTGCTTCACACTACATTCATTTCATTCCATTTCTCAGTCTCTTTCGCTTACAGCACAAGTTCTCTGCCGAAAATCCAGCTGAAAGGAACAGGGGAGGATGGTTGTTTCGCCCTCCCAGCAGCTCTCTCTTCCAGCCTTCGAATCCTTGCTGGAAGCCCACAAACAAACTCCTGGGCCCTGTTTCCTTCCGCAGAAAGACCTGTCAACGTCTCCACTTTCCACCTCCCAACCAGGAACTCGAGGATATCTGCATAGTCCTTCGCCGTGTACACCCCAATACGCTGTGCCACAGAGGAGTAATTCTCAAAAAGATTGTCATCCTGGCCATCAAACATCAAGTGGGCAGGCATAGATATCTTTTTTCTCATCATGTCTGCCAGTGCCAACACTGTGCCATCCGGATCAATCTCAAACAGCTTCTCCACAATCTTGGTGTAAGCAGTTTCATGGCGTTTCTCATCTGCTGCGATAATTCCACATATCTGTGCCAGCTTCATGTCTCCATGTTCCTTGGCTAGTCTTGCCGTATTCCCATGTGAGATAAACGTTGCCCTCTCTTGGAATGAAGTGTATATGAAACCGAGGTAGGGATTGTTTTCTGTTTTTGGATCCTACAAGGTTAGACATGAAAGGAGAAGGTCAATTTACTGGTCAATTTACTAGTCACAAACACTGAAAGACCACATACAATTACAAGTCAAGATATATTATCATCTAAGACAAGACACCATATCCACATGGATTGCATATGCCCCTTAATTAGCAGGAAAAGGGGGGAGGAAAAGAATTAGACAACTCCCTGACAAGACAACATGTAACATCACATAAACTTCTAATCCTTGCTTTCTGGCAATTACAATCAGTCGTGTGATCTGTCACCTTTGAATTGGATACAGTCTGCTTTCAATTGGATACAGTCGCAACTAACAACTACTCCCACATCACATAAAAAAGGAACTAAATGTTTCCTGGGCCAAGTAGGATGTCCGCAGTTGGTAGACAATAAACAAGATTCTAGTGGTGCCAAATACAACACATGGCTAATTACGGACATGCTATTGCCACACTTGGTAACAGTCAAAACCTTCAACAGAAAAAACCAATTGACAGATAACGCTAATCCAGAATAACCTCAATTAGAAGAAGGTTATGCATTGAACCACAACAGAAGTAATGTAATCAGAAGAAAGTTGTAGCATTCATCTATCAGCATAGTAAAGTTTGTCTACTCTTTTAGCTGAAAATATGTCAATGGAAAGCGTATAGTGAACAAAGGGGATGAGAAACAAGCAGTACATGTAATCACGTACCATTCCAGATCCAATCAGATACTGAATTGTCTTCTCAATCTGCTTCATGTCCACTCTTCCAGAAAGGTAGAGATACTTGTTGAGGAGATCACCGTGCCGGTTCTCCTCAGCAGTCCATGCGCGAGTCCAGATCGCCCATGATGTAAGGCTGGCCCCAGTTTCATCCCTAACGCCATCAAGGGTGTTAAGCATTGTCTGGTAAGTTGGTAGGGCTTCTTCAGTGATCATATCTCCAACCAGCACAACAAAATAGTCATCAGGGAGTTCCTTGGCTCTTTCCCTTAATTCCTTAACTTGGTCATAAAATCCATCCGACTCGGGTTCTGGTAGGAAATCTTGTGGCTGCCAACATTTCTCAACGGGCTTTAGATGCAGCAAGAGATTGTCCTCAGCCCAACCTTCCAAGGACTTGAAGATCTCCAGCTTTTGAGGGGGCATGGAATGCGTGACTTGGACATGCACCTCTTTGGGAGGTCCATGCGACTTCTTTAGTTTCTGAGCCTCCCTGGCCAATCAAAGACAACATAAAGTTGCAATCTTATATTGAGCATCTCGTGGCGAAAGTAACTACCCTAGAACATCAAAACCTATCAAGCATAAACATCATCGGGACAAGAAGATGTGAAGAAGTAGATCCAAGTCTATCACGCAGAACTTGACATTGCCCCCCATATCACATATGGGTGATCTGAAAAATCCTGGCCAAGTAGCGCAAAGGAAAACGAGCCACCGCATGGGCATCTAAGTATAATTTATTTGCTATCAGATTCTAAAACACTAGTTGAAAGTACTGAGCAATCATAGTTCGGAACAATAAAGTTGGACGGCGCCGAGAAACTTGATTATCATTCCCCGGAGAAGGAGGGGAACAATAAAGTTGGAGGGAGCATCGTTAATTCCTAGATGAAACGTTTTAAGAAACAAAAGTCAAAAAAACAGCTGGCCATTATTTCCTGCCAAAGCAGGTGGATGAGAGAAGAGGACAAAGATGATAGGGAACACCCACAAGAAAGCATTACACTACCAGTCGTCAACCAACTGGAGTAGCCGACCCAGGCAGTAAAGTTAACCCTTCACAACTCTCAACCACAGAGTTGCATTGCATATGGTAATGGAACACCCCAAAAAAGATAAACAATACTGACAATGCTTAGATGACAAAGGGCTGCAAGCCACACATAGCTGATGTCTCTTGCAGATCTTCTTATCTTGCTGCGAAAAGAGAGACGAGAGTAATGCAAACCCCAACCACGAAGCACATAGGAAGAGGCAGACACTTACATTGAGATGCAAAAGTTGTTTAGGGGAAAGGAGTCAATTGGATAAAGAGAAACAAATTCAACCGAGACATGGAACAAAAGCTGAGTCGCATATCAATCAAAACCAACCATAGCAAAAAGACAAATGAGATTAGATGAACAGAGGAGGTTTTGATTGCCGGGAATCAATGAATCCCTGCGATAAAGTTTGCGGAGGATCCAGAGCAATCGCGAAACAGAGACAGGGAGAAGAAAAGGAAAGAATGAGAGGAAGAGAGAAGGAAGCTTACTTGGTGGAAGTGGAGGCCACGAGAAGGGTGCGAGGAGATCTGGGATGGCGGGAGGGAGAGAAGGTGATGTTGAGGGAGCGGGTGGAAGGGAAGGTGACTGGGTTGAGCTTGAGAGCCATTGTTGAAGCTTTGAGAGCTGGGCGGGCGGGCGGCCGATGCCAGTTGTCTGGTTCGCAGCAGTGTGGTGTTTGTTGGGCGGAGAGGAAGGCGTTTTGTTGGCGTAACGTGGGTTCGGATTGGGGATTTCTGAGGAGAGCTGAGACAGAGGAGTGACGAGTTTTCCTATTACAAACGCAAGAGACGGACACTACTGACTTTAGAAGGAATGAAGGGGCTTTAGTCTTCTTTAGGGAAGAGAGTGGCGAACTGCAAAAATAGTTGGGTGGACGGAGGCGCAGAGGGGAAAGACACGGCTACGGGCCCACGGACTTCCACTGAAAACCTTGCGAAACGCCCACGTGTATCTCTGCATTTACTATTTTGCCACCCCACCCAACGAACTAACCGAGGCAAAATTATCACAGCCGACCAAAACAGAAGGCCAATACTACGGTGCCGCTATAAAAAGTGCGGCACCAGTAACGCTGAATATTATTGGGCCACGTGGAGCTTACATGGCATAGCTGAAATTGATTGACCCAAGCCCAAAGGCTGAGTATAGAGTACTGAAACAAGCCCGCCTATCCCACACTAACGGAGAACCGTTCTCTATCCAACCCAAACGGTGTATCTGTTTTTTTTTTTTTGGCAAACCGTTTTGTCTTTTTATTAATCAAAATTAAATTAGTTTTTTCCGGAAGATTCAGGAAAACATAGGTTAACGACTGAAGGAACGGAATAACTCGGTGACTTGTTCACCTTCTCCGGCGGTCTCTCCAAAATCACTTCAGTGACTTGTTCGTGGTCGATCACTTCTCCGAAATAACTCGGATTAGTTGTTCATAGGCGAAGGAATCTGTGGCTTCACGGGCCTCTGTCACCATCGAAAAGCAAACCCATAAAAGTCTTCCTGTATATCTTGTCTCGTCTGATTCTGAAAAGAGCGCAGTGCTCCGGCGAAATCCACTGTCACCGATCCAAACGTTATGTCGTGCACTTAAGTCTTCACTGTATTTCTCCTCCTCCATTGATCCTTTAAAACAAAACACGAATCCCTAGTGCCGAGAGACCCTCTGTCTCCGCCGAAGAACAATGGATTTGATGAGAATATGTTTGTTTGGATTGTGAAACTCTCAACTGTTCTCGTTTTGAAGTGTTTTCATGCACATATTATATATATAGGGTGGATACATGGTTGTTGAGTCCAATATTTATTTGCTCAATCTCTATTAATCTGCTCATTAGTTGCTTGTATGTGTTATATCCCAGCATATGATGCTTGCTTACATAAAAGCTCTTGATCTCATATTGTTTTGGTTGGAATAATGGGTCATAATCTATTGACTAATCAACAAAGACTTGTGGGATTGGTTTCCTTTGGTTCCTTTATTATGCTTGTCCTTTTCATTATTGTTTTATACCAACTTCGATTAGGAGTAGTAGCCAGGCTGTGTGTTGGGACTCATTGATTGTGCATGAGTAAGCATTACTATTTGGGGATCTGCTTTTTTTCTGGTTGCCCTTTTGCAGATTTGGGAGTTGTTCTTGAATTGGTCATGACCATGGGTTCCTCACAAGAAAAGAAGAGCATACCCAATTATACATGCTCCCTGTTTTCTCAAAGACCATCATCTTGGTTTCCAATACGAGGGACCATGTAACTGTATACCCCTTCTGGTGCTAGCTTGCAAATCACACAATTTTGTCATACTTTTATGGGTTTTGCTTGTGGATATGCTGTTAGTATTTGGTTTTTGACTGGGTTAGATATGCAGCACGTTATATGAACTGTGATGAGAGATTTGGCAAGGGAGGATCAGACCAGTCTAACCCGAGCCATAAAGGTGTCATCTTGGTGACAGGATTTGGAGAGAAAGCTGAGATCATTGCATCTTTCCCCACTTTGATGGAGACAGAGCATCGCTCGGAACCAAGGAATCGTGTTTTGTTTTACACGATCAATGGGGGAGGAGGAATTCAGTCAAGAATATGGAATTTGGATCGGCAACTATGGAGTTCGCCGGACACTGCACTCTTGTCAGAATCAGATGAGCGAAAGATGGAGGAGACGTTTTTTCCTTTTGGGTTTGTTTTCGAGTTTTTTATCGTTTATTTTTTTCAGGAGAAAAATGAAGGCAATTAAAATGAAAACTAAATGCAAAAGATCCATCAACGGCTGGGAAGACACCCCGTTAGTTTGATGGTTGCATGGTTCGGCCACTATGCTGGGTTAATATTTGGGCTTAATCCACTCAGTGCCACGTCAGCTCCACCTGGCCCAATCATATTTAGCGTTACCGGTGCCGCACTTTTTATAGCGGCACCGTAGTCTTGGCCAAAACAGAAACCAAAAACCAAAAACAATTATTAGTAAGTGAACGGAGAGTACGTTGTCAACCGCGGGTCGACCCGGAGCTGGTCAAACTAGTAGATCAATGATTAATTGGTCACCCTTTTTAGTAGGGGTGGAAATTGGAGTGGGTGTGGTTACCCGCCACATATTTTGCGGGTAACCACACCACAAACATAGAATTATGCTACCAACAACCCGCCCCGCAGTGGGTAGTGGTTAACCACTACCCGCTACGGGTTGGTGCGGGTTGGTTGTGGATACCCACAAAAATTCCACATAAATATAATAATAGGGTAATTAAATAGTGATGTTGTGTTTTTTCTCGCATAAAAAAAATACATAAAAGAAAGTTAATAAAGTGTTAAATAAATTATAAATCTCGAATACATAGTGTAAATTCAGAAGAGATGGATTTGGAAAGAGATTTGAAGATAACGGAGAGGCGGAGTGTGACTTGTTACCATACATGCATCGTTGCATGTCACGGCTCCTCCGATGATAACAACAGCAAAACACAAAAGTGGCTTGATAAGTGGAGGCGTCTGCTTTAATGAATCGATTATTCTCCACTCTCGATTATAGTATTGTATCGTGGAGAAATGGAGATGAGTTTGGGTATCAGACTAACCTTTATCGATTATTCTCCTCTTTTAACGAATCGATTAATTTATCTGACTATATCTGTGGACTTGGTTTTGTTATAAAATAAACATATACCACACGAACAATGCTTATATGATAAATGTATCTCACATGAACATTGCGTATTGACTTGGTTTTGTTGTATAGAATAAGTGTGTATTTGATTTTGGTAACTACTTTAATTCTTAGTCTTCCAAGTTTCACAAACTAATATTACTAATGTGGTTAGTGTGGGTTACAAAGTATTTTGAAGAAATAAATATAACTAATATGGTTAATGTGGGTTTTGTGGGTAAACCACTGTGGGTAGTGGTTAACCACTAACCACAAAAATCAATATTTTGCTACCCACACCCAACCCACTATCCACAAATTGTGGGTATGGGTATCCACAAAGTGTGTGGTGTGGTGCGATTTGCGAGTTACCCGCAACCCGCAAAACCAAACTTCCACCCCTACTTTTTAGTCCAGTTTAGCTAGGAAATATAGAAAGAGTTATTATATTGTACTTATCCTGAATCCAACATAAAAAATACAACACTATTTAAACTCCAACCCACTTAAATAACATTAACTTAAATTCAACATAGTAAAAATTTAACAAACACTTAAATCCATCACATAACATTAACTTAAATACATCATAGTTAAAAATTCAACAACACTTAAATCCAACACATTTAATCCTCAATAATACTTGTGAAACTTGACTTAAACTAGTTCGTGGAAAGGGAAGGTGGGAGTGCTTACTTTTCAAGAATCTTATATTAAAAGCGCGAAGAGAGCGTTAATATTCATTAATTTTAATATTTATTTAAATAATTATAAAAATAGCGAGGACGAAACTTATCAAAAGAAAACACCACCGCTAGCAGCTCCTTCTCCGTGGTGGTGTAGTTCTCCTGGGCATCGTTAAAGGTCTTCGAGGAGTAGTAGATAAGACGGAAGTGCTGATCTCGCCTCTACCCCAGAACAGCTCCAACATCAAAGTCACTGGCGTCGCACATCAGCTCGAACGGCAAAGACCAGTCAGGAGTGACCATGATAGGAGCATGAGTGAGCTTCTCCTTCAGGGTCGTGAATGTCGCGGTGCACGCGTCAATGAACTGGAAGGGAGCATCCTTCTCAAGGAGTTTCATCAGGGGCAAGGCGATCTTGGAGAAGTCTTTAATGAACCGCCTGTAGAACCCTGCATGGCCCAAGAAACTGCGGATCCCCTTGACAGATGTGGGAGGAGGCAGCTTGCTGATTGTCTCGATCTTGGCTCTGTCTACCTCTATACCCATCTTGGAGATCTTGTGCCTCAGAACTATGCCTTCACGAACCATGAAGTGGCACTTTTCCCAACTCAGCGCCAAGTTCGTCTCCTCACACCGTTTTAGGACGAGTTCCAGGTTATGGGGACAGTGAGAGAATGAGTCCCCATAAACTGAAAAGTCATCCATAAGTACCTCCATGATTTCTCTAACCAGTCGGTCGAAGATGGTCAGCATGCAACGCTAAAATGTGGCCGGGGCATTGCATATCCCGAATGGGATCCTCCGGTAGGCGAATGAGCCAAAAAGACAGGTGAAGGTGGTCTTCCCCTGGTCTTCCGGTGCAATGGGGATCTGAAAATACTCGGACATCCCATCTAGGAAATTGTAGTACTCATGCACCGCCAGCCTCTCCAGCATCTGATCAATGAAAGGCAGCGGGAAATGACCCTTCCAGGTGGCGTCGTTGAGGCGACGGTAGTCGATGCAGATGCGGTACCCGGTCACTGTGCGCATCGATATGAGCTCATTCTTCTCATTGGGTACCTCAGCCATCCCGCCCTTCTTAGGCACCACCTGGGTGGGACTAACCCACTCACTGTTAGAAATGACAAAGATGATCCCCGCGTCCATCAGCTTCACGATCTCCGGCCAAACCACAACCTCCAGGTTCGGTGTCAGTCTCCGCTGGGGCTGTCTCACTGGCCGCATCTCATCCTCTAGCAGTATCCGGTGGGCACAGAATGAGGGGCTGATCCCCCCAGATATCAGTGATTTTCCATGCCAGCGCTCGCTCGTACTGCTTCAACAAGGCCACCAGCCTGGCCTTCTGCTCGTGTGTGAGGTTCGAGCTAATAATGACTAGAAGCTTGTTCCTTTCCCGGAGAAATGCATACTCCAAGTCAGGAGGGAGGTGCTTTAGCTCCAGCTCTGGTGGTTCCTCCAGAGAGGCAGTGATGCAAGGAGAGAATGAGATCGGCTTGAATTGCTTGGCACCCTCCAGAAACTCGC